CTTCTAAAAACTCCTGCCAGGGGCCTCGTCTTCACACCTTCCCCATTTTCCCCCGAACCACTCATCACAAAACACCAACTCTCCTGGGACCAGGGCCGCACCCTTTCAGGTACCCCCACCCCCCTGCTACCAAAATTCAATAATATGGTCCTTTCCCACATTCCCAAAAATTCGCAAGACAACCCTCATTATCCCCCCCAAAACTCCTCCCAAACCCCATCAAAACGTACTGCATCAAAACGTTCGTTTGAATGTCCGCATTCCTACCTCGAAGAAGACATATCCTCCCCCCCACCCACTCTCCCTAACAAGCCTGCAACGTCCTCCAAATAATTTCTGCAATTTATTCCCATCTTGTTCCACATGTCCCCTTTAAACCCCACAAAAAACCGCAATCCCCGCTTCGCCCCAATCCCACCAGTCATAACCCATTGCACATCTCTGCCTCCAAAACCTTAACCACCACTCCCAAAACCCTTACCCCCACCCTCCCCCTAAGCAGCCGCATGTTCAATTTCCAGTAACTAGGGTAAATATGCAGAGCACTCTCCCATGACAGATCTACTATCACCCCCCTTTATGGACCCGAGAACCTACGTCGAATGTCTGCACCTCCCCACCTCCAACCCCTGCATGACTTTAAATTCTGTCTAATCTCACCGCATACCCCTGACGAACGAACGTGTGCTCCACATAAAACCTCCCCCCCACGCAACATCTACGACTCCACGTCCCTCAACGCATCTCTCGGGAAACATTAAAACATGAACTTTTCCCCCTCGGTTCCACATCCCAGCCACGTTCACACAATCCAAATCCCCACCTATAATTGTGATGGCAGGCAACCCCACAGTTGATACAATAATTCGTCCTCCCCGTCAGGGGGGCAAATGGCCATAAAATTAGGAAATTCGAACTGAACTCCCTTTAGTAGATAGAGTAACTAAAATATAAGGTCAATGAGCCCTATAAATGGATTCTGATGGTTTTAGTTTTCCAGCAATTTGCTAATCTGCAAAGCCCTAATTTTATTATGGTCTCCCCATTTAAGGGAGTAAAAATTGGAGCCCAAATTTGAAATGTTTAATAAAAAAGCAAATAACTATTTTTTTTAATTTATTATTCAAACGGGACAATATCAAAAACATCAATGAAACTTGTATCCAAACCTTTTTAGGTATTAGAAAAATATAAAAAGAAACCAAATTGCTACAATGACACATTGCAAAAGGGATAAAATTTTCAAGTCCCACATTCTGAATTCCTGGAAAGAACAGTATTCTATATTAAATTGTAGAATGGAAGGCAAAGGGTCATTATATGTCACCACAGGTCCCCGGGGGTTACTGTCAACAGCAAGCTCACATGAATATCACTTAGATCTCGATTTTTAATCCCTTTTTTTTTTCTTGACTTTTTTTGCTTTTTGGCAGGCATTTCTTCCTCCCATCATCACTTGACACCTCTGCATGGGTGGCAATATTCATCATGCTTTCAAGCAATTCGGGGTCATCTACCCCCAGTTGGAGCACTTTCCCCCAAAACGCAGACAATTTGACTTGGGGTTTTGGAGGGCTCCCCAAAAAAAACAATTTCCATTGATCTGGAAGGCAAAAAAAATTTTGTACATGCCCCAGAAACTATAAAATTCATATAAGCAATAGAAAAATTTTTTTAAATATTTTTTACTAAAATTGAAAATGGCCCAAAAAGGGCAGACCAACATTTTTAAGGCCTCTTTTTTTTGCATTTTTTCATTTGCATGGTAACTCATAGTTTTATACTCCCTTTTTCATATATAATATAAAATATATATATATATATATTATATATATATAATATATAAAATTATAATATATTATATATATAATATATAAAACATAATATTATATATATAAAAAATATAAAATAAATTTTAAAAATATATATATTATATATTTATAATAAATATATATATATATATATATCAATTTGGGTTTTGATATGCCTTTCCTTCTTAAGACTTTTAATTTTAAAGTTGTATTCAAGAATCTTGAACAAAAAAAAAAACTTTTGATAAAGAATTGCCCCCAAAAGCTGATGGATGTGTCTAAAAGATTTCCTTTAAAATTTGTGAAAAAGTTTTTTAAAGGTAAAAAATGGAAAAAAACTCGAACAAAGATTAAAACACATAAATTGCATTAAAACTGGACAAGTTAAAATGTTCTATTTATTCATTTAAGAGTTTTAAAAATCCCAATTGATTTTCAAAAGTTGAGAAAATGTATCAAGCAAATCCATGGTCGAAGGAATATAATTGAATCTTGTTCATAAAAAAACATTTTTGACAATAATATGAAAATTTTCCTTTGGGTTTATTAAATTAAATCCATTTATTTAATAAATTTGGGGAAGAATTTAATATACACTGGACAAATAATTTTTAAATTTTCTTGGGGAAATAGTTTGGGGGTGAGTTGTGCAAAGGGCCTATCCCAATTGGGTCAGCGCGCGTCAGGTGTTTAACCATTGTGGAAACTGATAGTGAGGTGCTGGCCAGACCCCTTTTATACTTCCTTGGATGCTTACTTTCATAGTTCCCTTGATAATGTGAGTAGTCACGAAAGCGCTTGGAATTTCTCTATTCTTTCAGAGTGGTTGTTTTGCATATTCTGAAATCACCTGTTTACTGTGATCTTATTGCATATATATATATAATATATATATATATATATATATATATATATATATATATATATATTATATATATAAAATATATATTATATATATATATATTATATATATATATATATATATATATATATGTGTGATATATATGTATATATATATATATATATATATATATATATATATATATATATATATATATATATATATATATTATATATATATATATATATTTATATATATGTATGTATAATATTATATATATATATATATATATATATATATATATATATTATATATATAATATATATATATATATATATATATATATATATATTATATATATGTATATATATGTATGTATATATATTTTATATATATATATATATATATATATATATATATATATATATATATATATATATATATATATATATATATATATATATATATATATATATGTACATATATATAAATAAGCCTAAACTATTCATTTATGCACTAGACATAACAATCAGTACTTACCAACATTGTAGAGGATAAAATCCAAGGGTATTTGAGTCTCACTAGATGAAAAAATTTTAATCTTGGCGACACCAAGCCACATCTTGGTCTCTCATCCAATGGGAAACTACAACAGGATGTCGCCACTTAGCTGAAGTGACTGAGGGAAGGCTTGTGATTAGTCAGAAATAAAGAATGGGAATCTAGATGCGCGGCACGAGTAGGATGACACGCACAGAAAAGCACATGCTCAGACCCACAAATTTTGCAGTCTGCCCCATAAAGGGTTTATTAAGGGTAACACACCTGAAAGTTATATGAAAAGTGGCTTCCCTCTATGCCGCTGTGGCTTGCCTACCACACCTTTACCAGTACATCGACCCGACGCCTCACCAGACTTTCCCTGGACTCCCTCCCCACCCTTTCCCCATTCACTGTGTAACTCTGTCTCCACTGGATCCTTCCGGTCCAACAGCTCCTCCTCTGTTGCTCAAGCTTTTTTCCCCGGCCTCTGCCCCGGCATGAGAACCTCCTCGACCTCAGCCGTGCCAGCCGTCGTCTTCCTAGAGCAGCCACCCACACACATGTTCACGTCTGGCGAATTCTCCTGATGGACTTTCACCTCCCCCACTTGTTCCAAGCGAGTCCCAGACGAGGTCCTTACCACAGGCGGCTGTTCCTCCCTCACATCGGCCTCACCAACAGTTAAGGCACAGGTCCCTGATCCATCCCAAAAAATTTTCAACACCTCTTCCAGTAAGTCCTCCTGAGGCACTTCATTCCATTTTGGTGGAGTCACCAACATCCCCGTCGACTCCCCCGACCCCTTCAGGAGTGTGACACACGTTTCGGCCGTCCGTTCCTCTCGCTCAAACTCCTCACTCCAACGACCGATCGTCCTTGCTTCCTCATCTCCCAACTCCGACACCAACTCACAAGGATGCTGCTCCACAGCCGACATCCCAGGCTCCCTGGGAGCCTGTCTCCTAGGACACTGTGCCGCCATATGATCGTAAGAGCTACACAAGCGGCAAGTCCTTCTCTTGCCAGCATAGTACATGAAGACTTGCGTCCTTTAACCCACCAACGTGATGTAGTACGGTATAGGCCGAGCCAGAGTCATTTTGAGGGTATAGAAGCCCTCCGGTAGCCCCTCATATGGCCCATCCTTCTATACTCCCATAGTAGCAGAATGGACCTTTCCATAACTGTTGAATGCCTCTTGTATGCCATACGCAGTCGCCACTTATAATACTTAGATATGTCGTGCAAGGCACCGTCTAACACAGAGTTCACAGTCATCCTCCGCTCTTGGTACTCATCAACGATCCTATCGTAGAAGCCGGCACGATTTATTTTCACGAATACTCTGGACATCCCATTCAAATTCACACCATATACTTCGTCATTGGGGACACCACAGACGTCTCTGATGATGGCAGGTAGCAAGGTGTTCATTGTAGCGCCACTGAGCGTGCCACGCACCAGCTCAATGCAAACAGTGTTGATCCTCTGTCCTGCTCAAACCACAATCTTGGCGTCCAGATGCAAAAAGTCACCACCAGAGGGCAGGCGTAGCAGACTAGGCGAGCGTCCTCTCTCCTCGGAGGTCGAGAGACGAATGGCATTACGATAATACCAAGTAGAAATTGTCTACTTAAAATGGACAAAAGGGTGTAACACACGATACATATCATAATTTAACACATGCACTCAGCAGGCTCATGTCAATCATGTGTTCACACATGCACACTCTTTAAATACCAATCATTAAATTTAAACGAGCAATAATCAGTTTCTTTAAATAACATTAAGATACAAGTACTTACCTCGTTGAACAATTGATCAATCACAATAACATCAAATTCCTTCCTTCTTTCATAAAGATCTTTCACCACGGGGACTTTGTACAACTCCGTAACAAGAGTTGGTAGAACAATCTCAAAGAGTTGGAAGACCCCACTGGGGTTCTTCCTGCTCTCAAAAAAGTTAATATCTTCCTCCCTGAATTGTGAGAGGTCGTGAGGGATATCTTCAATGTTAGGATGTTTGGACGACTTCGGTTGGTTGGTCAACATCACTATCTGAAAATGTTAGTTAAGCTGTATATCAAGATAAGGTTGAGGGAACTTGACGAAACCCACAACAAAGTCTGAATAAAATTCATCATTTGGCAATATTAAATAGAAATTTTCTTACGCTTTGTAAGCTATCTTTCAATTTGAAGATTGAGACACTTATGCAGCATGTGAGAATCTTTATTCAGGAAACGCTTCGCCACACAGTGGCTTCATCAGTCCAATACAAAGAGGAAGGTGTAAGTATCATGTGGGAGTTCGAACACGTGGATAGGGTAAAGTAATACTCACGTAGGCTGGAAGTACGTATAATTATGGATAATGTGGGGAGCGCCCAAACAGCCGTAACCTTGCCTCCTTGCTCACTCTCGTATGACTGACTGCCCACAGTACCCATATGTGAGGGGGTCTTTGAATACTGCTGTGGTCAGCACAATATGAATACAGACAGTGACTCAGGCAGAGACGGTTGGTAGTGAGTCATCTACTGGTACAACTGGTTACTGGTAACTGGTTACTATACTGAGAGCTCGGTGACGCTAAGTATGTCGTCCCGACATACAACAATACAAACTAGAGATGGCAGGTTACGCTTGGGCTGATTCTATACAATGTCAAAGAAACACAACAATTGAACAATATAACATACCAAAGTAGAACATTGGAATGGAAGCTTACGTAATGAAACTGTAATGCAATACAAGGATAATATAGCACAACTCATCGAATGAAACTCATTGAATGAAATCACGAATGAAACTCAACGTTGGGATTACACAGTAGAAGTGATAAAAAAAATTTGATCGCTCGATCTGTATTCATGTGATCTACGGATTCTGAAGAAGAAATATATACAAAGAAGTGTTTAACAGAAAGGCAGATTCGGTGCACTCAAATCTAGACTGTTAACTCTCAGAATTCGGAGACAACGTGAACACAAAAAAAAAAAAATCTTGAAAACTGATAAGTTGATACTGTAATTATTCATCTATACAGGTATTTACATTTAACCCCAACTCTGCTGGGGGTAAGATTAACTTTCCCAGAATGGGTGTCATCTCTGGGGGATCAAACTCTGTTGCATTGGCTAACTCATGCTGTATTTGAGGCAAATCTGTTTTGGAAGTTACAAATGATACTTGAGGATTTCTCAATACCTGACGTGTACGTAGGGAATAACGACATTCAGGTTGATCGTCTGACTGAGTATCGAGGAAGAGAGTACAGGATCAGGAGGATTGTCAGAGTCTGTCACATTAGTCTGGGTGGGAAACATCATTATCATCACATGCAAAACTTCATATATCTAAATGCGATTCTTTAAAAATGACCAGTACTAATTTCTCTAACTTTATACTTATTACCAGTGATGTGTTCAACTACTCGATAAGGACCAACAAACTTTTGATCAAGCTTTGGCATTGCAGACGTTTTGTTTAAATTTTAGTCAGCATAACTCTCAAACCCTTTACTTAATTTTGGATGGCTTTGCTCGAGTGTTTGCGACTCTTGTAAATTCTGCTGTTGATTTATGAAGTGTTTCACGGATTCTTCAAAAAAACACTTTGGAGCTAACGGGTACGAGTTGCTATGAAATCATCAGGGTTGTAATTTGGTTTCGGATTAGAATATAACAACTCATAAGGCAAACGTTTATCTACACCGTACAATGCATAATGTGGAGTGTCCCCTATAGAAACATTGTAAGCAGAATTTATAGCACACTGCACATCAGGTATAACTTCATCCCAAGTTTCACTGTTGGGATTGATAGTGGCTCTCAAGACATCAAGTACTTTCTTATTGGTTCGTTCTGCTAACCATTGCTGGCGGGATGATGAGGAACAATGGTGGATTTAGAGATCTTGTACAAGGTACACAAAATTTTCAAGAATCTCATTACAGAATTCACCTCCATTAAATCTGTTACTAGGGATTTAGGGGTGGTATGCCTGCAGATAATGCTTCTTTAAACGCTTTAGCTACTGTCTCGCAGTCTTATCTGCAATAGGAACTAACTCACAATATCTGGTGAAATGGTCTTCCATAACACAGAGATTTTTGTTCCCTTGGAGGGAACATTGGAAATTAGTTAACAGATCTAGCGCAACTTTTTCCCTCGGTTCGCTAGTAGTTTGGATCCCACCTGGATTGGATTAGGGCCATTAGCATTACCTTTATGTTGCATGCAGACACTAATTTCTTAACATACTCAGAAATATCAGTTGCCATACGGGGCCCAAAAAGTATTTCAATCTGGCTGTTTTACTGAACGATCCTTACAGGGTGTGCAACACCTGGTACATCGTGAACTAGCTGTAAGGCTACATTCACTAGTGACTGTGGAATACTAACTGGTATACTCTTCGCTAGGAGTACCCAACTCGGCTGTTCGATACTGTAATTCTTGGTTCATGACAAAGTCACTGATGGGTGCTGGTGGCTTCACAGTCAGAATAAGATCTTCCTGGAGCAGGAATCGAATCACACCAGACCACATGGGATCTGTTCGTTGAGCATTCTTTACATCTTCAGCACTAAATGGAGGGTCTGCAGTTACTATACTAACATGTCGCGATAAGGCATCTGCGACTACATTTGACTTGCCAGGTAAGTGTTCAAAGGTGGGATTGAACTCTTGGATAGTCAAGGTCCATCTGGCTAACCTTCCAGTAGGTTGTTTGTTCTTACTGGAGGAATGAACAAACTCGGTGGAGTGGATGACTCCCCCTGGTTGAAAAAAATAACGCTATAACACGCAATATGAGCAAGGGAGAACGAATCTACTATCTCAAACTGCAAGCACAGGAGAAAATAAATGAACACGGTCAACAATGCTGATATTCTGAGTCGCACACAGTGACACGAGGTATCAACTATAAAGAAACTACACTTACAAGCGTTAACATGTGAAAGTTACTCGAGAAATAACTTCTAACAATGCACTGATTACTGTCAACTAGGATGGGATCACCATCTGAAACACAAGAACAACAACAGACACTCTAGTGAGAACACTAGCTGTAACAGAGACGTCTTTCTGCAGACAGCATGTCACATCAACAAGAGATGGCATTACTAGTTTCAAGTAATCGTTTTCTGACAAGGCATCCCCTGTGGAGAAACTACTACTCGAACTAGCAGTCATTGCAGGGATAGGCTGTGCACTCAAGGCAGCGAGTGTCCTCGGACATTTTGAGGCAACGGAACACTATCCTGCAAGTCTGAAGGTGTAGGTGGAACACAGATGGGAGGACAAAATTACTAGTGCCTGCCCGCTCGGCTACGTTAATAAGTAATTCACGGATCTATAGGAACTTAATCTGAACTTAAACATTTCGCAGCACTTTAACAAATCTCAAAATACAAGCTGTGAGAAAAAAACACATTTCTCAAGGGCTAGATATTGTCTTTCAGTCAGAAAGGGGAAATGTTGGTACTGTGGACTGATTCATATTGACTTTGACTGGAATGATACACTAAAGTGACGTTCAGAAGTGACTGGAATCCAGTGAACTTACTGAAGGACATAAAGACAAGAAAAATGGAGAGAATGACACAATAAGCTTAAAGGGGAAGAAAATGCTTAAACGATTCTGCATAATTTAATAAAAAAATGTCTAAGAACACTGCAAAGGAAGGACAACTCAATGTAAAGGACTATTGGCCAAGAAAAAAAAAATTACATTGAAATATACAAGTAAAAATATTACTGGAGACTGAATTAAATGCAAAATGAGCTGTCTTTACTCTTGCTAATAAAAAAAATTAATTAAAAAAAATTTAAATCAATGAAAAAAATATAAAATAAAATTACTAAATTGTATGCAACGAGAGATAACTGGGAAATTAAATATTTTCTAAGAATGCATAAAAAAAAATTTAAAATATAATGCCAAATAACATCAGGAAAATTAATAAAATGAAAAACAAGATGCAATAATGAACTGAGAATAATAATACATAAAAATATCAATAAAAGAAAAAAATTCACTGCAGAACAAGTTCAACAAAATAATTCACTGCAGAACAAGTGAAAAAAAAATAAGGTGTAAAATAATCACTGCAATAATAAAGTCTCACTGGAAAACTCAGGTTAAATAATAAAAAAAAAATATGAAGAAAAATTTGATTGAACACTTTAACTCTTAATTGTAAAATTAGACCAAAACAATTTACTCAAACAGAGTAAAGAAAACACTTTACGTTAAAAGTAATTGAAATTACATCAAGAGTGAATTTGTTCAAAGAAATATGAAAAAGTATGAATAAAAATTAAAACAAGGAACAAAACGGGAAGTTTAACACTTACAAGTGGCAGGGCACACAACACTTAATCACGTATTCATTATTTTAGTATATTCTTACAACAAAATCTTGCTGTGACTGATACGACAAAAATTTGCTGGCAATAATAATGGTACACAAGTCTGCGAAAAAATTAGAGGAATGAGACACTGCTGGCATACGAAAAAGACACACATAGAAATAAATGGATAATTTGGTAAACTGGGGTGAATATCACTGCATGAAATACAATGCCAATTACTGGAGAATACAATGCTGAAAGAATACCAAAAAAAAAAATGAATCACTTCACACAGAGTGACTGACTGGTACACTACACAATAATACTTACTACGGACAGAGAGTAGCATAAAATAAAAACACAGATAAAAAAAAATATAAGATGAAACGAAAACACTGAAAAATTTTTGCAAAAATAAAAGAGTCAAAGAAACACTGAGTCTACACTGAAAACACAAGGCTTAGAGTTTCACAAGAAATTCACTATAAATGTCTCACACACGCAATGTCTTTAAATGCAAGAAAATTGTCTCTAAACAGAAAATTATCACTGAAGTCTGTAGTAGTCGGGTGGTGACTGGTGATGAGGAAGGTTGTCCTGCGTGGTGATGACGCCGACACTCACACTGTCGTCGTGAAGAAATGCGCTTTCTCGGTGAACTCACATAACTGGCTTTATCGGTGGCGCTCAGCTACATCTCTTGACCAATTATGTGAGCCAAAACAGTATTAGGACCCGGTACAAGGGTGCAAACAACCACAGGTAGATGAGGTGGATGGCTGGTGGTGGTGGTTGGTGGTGGGTGGGTGAAGGGAGAGTGTATAGCGGTGGGTGAGGTGGTGACTCTCGCTGGCGCTCACTGGCGCGCACTCCACTCACTACCCACGAAGGTGGCTTGATAACCACCCATGCCACAGGGATGGTGAAGACCACGCTTAGCATCCAACTGGCATCCAACTGGGAGCACAAAGCGATATATGAAATAATACTTCAGAGGATGCATGGCTTACTTCTCTCTCTCAGCTGGGTTAGAAGCTGGATTGGCTGACTGGCTTAACCCACGAGAATGGCTGACTGGAAGACGGGTAACGATGCACACAGCACGGAGGAGCAGGTGGATGACAGGAGACAGGCTGGATGACAGGCTGACTGGCATTCACTTCCACAGTCTGGCTTACTGACTGGCTTAATTGCAAAATCCGGGTCAACCCCTCGGAGATTGAAGCAATTAGCACACGAACTAAGCCAGGAAGCTTGAAACGGCTGCAACAGGCTTGCAGGCTGGAGGTGGAGGTTGTGAGGGGAGCAAGTAGCTTGACATGGGTGAGATGGTTCACCTTTGACCCGCCGGCTACTCACAAACAGTCTTCTAACATCTTGAAATACCCTTCAAAAGCTTAATTTCCACGCTATCCCACCGCTGCCACCATTTATCATGTGGGAGTTCGAACACGTGGATAGGGTAAAGTAATACTCACGTAGGCTGGAAGTACGTATAATTATGGATAATGTGGGGAGTGCCCAAACAGCCATAACCTTGCCTCCTTGCTCACTCTCGTATGACTGACTGCCCACAGTACCCATATGTGAGGGGGTCTTTGAATACTGCTGTGGTCAGCACAATATAAATACAGACAGTGACTCAGGCAGAGATGGTTGGTAGTGAGTCATCTACTGGTACACTGGTTACTGGTAACTGGTTACTACTACTGAGATAAGGAGAGGAGGAGTATGAGGTAATCAGTCCCTCAGCCTGGAGTCGATGTGTTCAGTCCATCAATCTACGGCCCTATGCTATACATTCTACAAGATAGATGGACTGAACACATCGACTCCAGGCTGAGGGACTGATTACCTCATACTCCTCCTCTCCTTACGCCTTCCTCTTTGTATTGGACTGATGAAGCCACTGTGTGGCGAAACGTTTCCTGAATAAAGATTCCCATATGCTGCATAAGTGTCTCAATCTTCAACTTGTCGGTTTTTCAAAACATTCATCACATATCTTTCAATTTATTTACGTCACTGTTTACTATTACTTAAGCAACATTTGTTAAGATATTCTCTTAGTTATGCTCAGTATACTCAGAACTCAATAAAATTATTCGTGAATTTATTTATGCTAATTATGAAATACAAACATAACATATTATGGTATTACCTTGTGTCCACGGTCGGCCAGAGCCACAGCGAGAGGCATGAAGATATTTCTGTGACTCTTGGAGGAGATGGGTAGAAGCATAAGGATCTTATAGGACCTCTCAGGTGGAGACAACTTCCCCATGATGCTTCCCACTAGCATCACCACCAGTACACACATAATCGTTGACTTCATCTGCAGACAGCATTAATTACACTTTTAACATGTAGTACATTTCAGCATTATCTGATTATCTGGAAGAGGGAGTTCCGGGGTCAACCCCCGCGGCCCGTCTGTGACCAGCTCCTTAGTCAAATGTCCAGGATGCGACCCACAAACCCGCGACAAACACCCGCTAAATGCTGAAACAGTAAGCAGGCAAAGATTTATAAACGTAATAATTAATTTGTTGACAATGAGGGTGACAACGGAGATTAAGTTGATCCGAATCAGGAGTGAGAGAAACTACGATCAAGAAAGATCAATAGATATTACAGTTTATACATTATTCTAAAATAAAACCTATCACATATCTGTAAATTCTAAATTATTCCAAAGTACATTCAGAAAGGATGACAATTATATTTAAATAATTTTTGGACGATATTTGTTATATAAATTGTTTCATTAAACCAACTTTTACTCAATAGAGGGTATAGTCATGTCAGAAAAATGTTTTTCTACGTAATTCCCCTGATGTAAGATTAGCTAATATAATCATAGTCAAAACTTCTCAATTAATTCATTGGGTACACTCGTTCCCGAGCATGAAAGAGGACAATATAAAGAGACAAGTTCTCTCAGGCATGGGAAATGTAAACTTAATAAAAAGATGTTGTATAACAAACTTAGCTACACAGTGGTTCATGTACCCACATTGGTTATATTAATCTGTACATGACATTGGAAGATGAAAGTTGATTACTTTCGAAAAGCATTCTAATCTTGCAAATTTACTTATTATATATTACGTTCTAAAGTCTGCTTGCTCCCCGGAAACATCGGGGTATATTCTTAAATACACCCCGTGTTCCCGGGTGACATGCTAAGTGTGATGAATTTTGTAATACACATTCGACAATATAATGGTGAAGTACATGTGTCCATGTTGCCTGTCTCAGATTGTACATTTTTTTTATTTATTAACACATCGGCCGATGCCCACCAAGGCAGCGTGGCCCGAAAAGAAAACTTTCTTCATCATTCACTCCATCACTGTTTGCCCGAGAGGGGTTTCTTACACTACAGTTATAAAACTACAAAATTAAACCCCCCCTCCTTCAGAGTGCAGACACTGTACTTCCCATCTCCAGGACTCAGGTTCGGCCTGCCGGTTCCCCTGAATCCCTTCATAAATGTTACTTTGCTCACACTCCAACCGCACATAAAGTATTAAAAACTATTTTGTACCTTTCCCCTATAAAATACGCTCACACACATGCCTTCTTTAAGTCCAAGCTTCGAACACAAAACCCCTTTTCCCTTTCCACCTTTTTAGGCGATCCTTTCCCCCCCTCCCGCCCCAAAGATTTATTTACTCCAAAGCATCTGTTTTTTCCTTTCTCTTACAGGCCGAATACTCACCCAAACCCTTCTCAGCCTCTGGAATATTATTTTTGCAATCCGCACCCTTTCCTGTTTAAATACGAATTCTGCTTCTTCACACCAACTTCCCGAAGGACTCCACTCTTCCAGCCCTCTGTTAGATCATTCAACCCGTACACCCATATCAATCCCCCTTTTCTTTTCCAAATTGATTTTCTCCAAACTCCCCCCCCGTGCCCACCCCTTTTCTCTCTCAATTCAAGATTCCCCTAACTTCATAGCCTCTCTTGTATGCCTCCTAAAATATCTGTCATACACCTCAACTTCCCCCCATCTTATCCATTTTTCGCACGAAATTTTTATCCTCATAATCCTACTCTCCCAATCCCCTTTTAATTCTCTTTCCTCCCTACCAATTCATCAATATGATTCCCTTCCTCATAAAACCTTTCAAAGAAGGCTGTAACTCCATTTGTGTTTATTCTTTTTCTAACAAACTCGATCATTCCTTCATTCCCTCATAATTTCCACAGTGATATCCACATCCCTTTCTAAGGGCCCACTTTTACCTAATTTTCCCTCTCCACATACTCTAAAAACCCTTATTATCCTAATTTTTCTTTTGAACTACCCCCCTTACAAATCACCTCCAAACGCCAATTCCCCCCTATCCCCCGTCAATCTTTCCAAACCATAATTGCACAAAACCCCTTAACTAATCTAAATTGCACCTAAGTTTACGAACTTGGGACAATCCCCCAAAAATGTGTTGATTTCCCCCTTTTCTTTAATTCAACTTTCCATAACTCCTTTCACCCAATTTTATAAAAGACATCCCCCCTTTTTTTTCACCCCTTTTCCTTTTAAAAAGGAAAAATTCTCCCGGGAAAATTTCCTCCCCCTTTCCTACATTTTAAATAAGCCCAACCCTCCAAAAAAATCCCACCCCTTTAAACACTTTTCCTAAACCCCCCCCTTGCCCCCATTTTCCCCCATTCCCCCCCCCATCCAAACCGGGCTTCTCCTCCCAAATAAATTTTTTGCCAACAAAAACCTTTCCCTTTTTTTAACCAATTAAATTTTGTTTTCCTATTTCCCCCTACCCACTTTTAAAACCTCCCCTTTTTTAATGCCACCTTTCCTCTATATTACTCCTCCCTTTTCTTATTTTTTTTATATTTTTTTTAAACATCTCACCCACTATCTCATTTGCTCTCTTTTTACATTGTTTCTCCATTCTCTTAACCTCTCTTTTTCTCTTCCCTCCTTGCACCACTTCTACTTTGTAAAAACCTCTCATTTGCTAATTTTTTCTCCTTTACTACTCTCTTTACATAATCATTCCTCCAATCGCTCTTCTTCCCTCCCGCACCCACTTTCCTGTAACCACAAACTTCTGCTGAACACTCTAACACTACATTCTTAAATCTACCCCATACATCTTCGACCCCATTGCCTATACTCTCACTAGCCCTCTATCTTCCAATAGTTGCTTATATCTTACCCTAACTGCCTCATCTTTTAGTTTATTCACCTTCATCTCTCGCTTACTTTCTGTTTCAGTTTTCCTGTATCCCATCTACCTTTTACTCTCCCTGTAGCTACAACTAAAAAGTGATCTGATATATCTGTGGCACCTCTATAAACATGTACATAAGAACATAAGAAAGGAGGAACACTGCAACAGGCCTACTGACCCATGCAGAGCAGGTCCATGCCCCCCCCAATGACCCCCCACCCGGATTAGCACAATGACCCACCCAGTCTGGTCACCTCCACTCAAGGATGGAGCACAGCACCAGGTCCAGCAGCACAAGCTAGCCAGGTCCAACTCACACCCACCCGCACTCACTCATGAATTTACCTAACCATACCACGGGAGGGACCTGAACCCGCGGTCAGAGAGTCTCAAAATTCCAGACCGTCGCGTTAGCCACTGGACCAGCTAGCCACAATAAGATTCGTCCAACTAGGTATATTTCTACACCATAGGAAGGTTAGCATAGGCACCACTGTGATCACAAATGCTAGTTTTTATTGTGGCTTGCTGGTCCAGTGGCTAATGCGACGGTCTGGAGTTTTGAGACTCTCTGACCGTGGGTTCAGATCCCGCCCGTTGTATGGTTTGTTTGCAATCGTGTGATTACGATTTCGTGAGTCATGTTGACGGCAGTGAGGGGACTTGAGCTAGAGTTCGTCACGGCCACGCTAGCTGGAGATTCGTCTGTAAAAACTTGCATTTGTGGTCACAGAGGTGCCTGTGCTAACCTTCCTATGGTGTAGAAATATACCTAGTTGGATGAATCTTATTGTGGCTAGCTGGTCTAGTGGCTAACGCGACGGGCTGGAGTTTTGAGACTCTATGACCGCGGGTTCAGATCCCGCCCGTGGTATGGTTTGTTTGCAATCGTGCCATTACGATTTCGTGAGTCATGCATCTTTTTATTATTATTATTCTTATCACACTGGATGATTCCCACCAAGGCAGGGTGGCCCGAAAAAGAAAAACTTTCACCATCATTCACTCCATCACTGTCTTGCCAGAAGGGTGCTTTACACTACAGTTTTTAAACTGCAACATTAACACCCCTCCTTCAGAGTGCAGGCACTGTACTTCCCATCTCCAGGACTCAAGTCCGGCCTGCCGATTTCCCTGAACCCCTTCATAAATGTTACTTTGCTCACACTCCAACAGCACGTCAAGTATTAAAAACCATTTTTCTACATTCACTCCTATCAAACACGTTCACGCATGCCTGCTGGAAGTCCAAGCCCCTCGCGCACAAAACCTCCTTTACCCCCTCTCTCCAACCTTTCCTAGGCCGACCCCTACCCCGCCTTCCTTCCACTACAGACTGATACACTCTTGAAGTCATTCTGTTTCGCTCCATTCTCTCTACATGTCCGAACCACCTCCAAACCCTTCCTCAGCCCTCTGGACAACATTTTTGGTAATCCCGCACCTCCTCCTAACTTCCAAACTACGAATTCTCTGCATTATATTCACACCACACATTGCCCTCAGACATGACATCTCCACTGCCTCCAGCCTTCTCCTCGCTGCAACATTCATCACCCATGCTTCACACCCATATAAGAGCGTTGGTAAAACTATACTCTCATACATTCCCCTCTTTGCCTCAAAGGACAAAGCTCTTTGTCTCCACAGACTCCTAAGTGCACCACTCACCCTTTTTCCCTCGTCAATTCTATGATTCACCTCATCTTTCATAGACTCATCCGCTGACACGTCCACTCCCAAATATCTGAATACATTCACCTCCTCCATACTCTTTCCCTCCAATCTGATATCCAATCTTTCATCACCTAATCTTTTTGTTATCCTCATAACCTTACTCTTTCCTGTATTCACTTTTAATTTTCTTCTTTTGCATACCCTACCAAATTCATCCACCAATCTCTGCAACTTCTCTTCAGAATCTCCCAAGAGCACAGTGTCATCAGCAAAGAGCAACTGTGACAACTCCCATTTTATGTGTGATTCTTTATCTTTTAGCTCCACGCCTCTTGCCAAGACCCTCGCATTTACTTCTCTTACAACCCCATCTATAAATATATTAAACAACCACGGTGACTTCACACATCCTTGTCTAAGGCCTACTTTTACTGGGAAATAATTTCCCTCTTTCCTACATACTCTAACTTAAGCCTCACTATCCTCGTAAAAACTCTTCACTGCTTTCAGTAACCTAACCCCTACACCATACACCTGCAACATCTGCCACATTGCCCCCCTATCCACCCTGTCATACGCCTTTTTCAAATCCATAAATGCCACAAAGACCTCTTTAGCCTTATCTAAATACTGTTCACTTATGTGTTTCACTGTAAACACCTGGTCCACACACCCCCTACCTTTCCTAAAGCCTCCTTGTTCATCTGCTATCTTATTCTCCGTCTTACTCTTAATTCTTTCAATAATAACTCTACCATACACTTTACCAGGTATACTCAGCAGACTTATCCCCCTATAATTTTGCACTCTCTTTTGTCCCCTTTGAATTTATACAGAGGAACTATGCATGCTCTCTGCCAATCCCTAGGTACCTTACCTTCTTCCATACATTTATTAAATAATTGCACCAACAACTCCAAAACTATATCCCCACCTGCTTTTAACATTTCTATCTTTATCCCCTCAATCCCGGCTGCCTTACCCCCTTTCATTTTACCTACTGCCTCACGAACTTTCCCCACACTCACAACTGGCTCTTCCTCACTCCTACAAGATGTTATTTCTCCTTGCCCTATACACGATATCACAGCTTCCCTATCTTCATCAACGTTTAACAATTCCTCGAAATATTCCCTCCATCTTCCCAATACCTCTAACTCTCCATTTAATAACTCTCCTCTCCTATATTTTAACTGACAAATCCATTTTTTCTCTAGGCTTCCTTAACTTGTTAATCTCACTCCAAAACTTTTTCTTATTTTCAACAAAATTTGTTGATAACATCTCACCCACTCTCTCATTTGCTCTCTTTTTACATTGCTTCACCACTCTCTTAACCTCTCTCTTTTTCTCCATATACTCTTCCCTCCTTGCATCACTTCTACTTTGTAAAAACTTCTCAAATGCTAACTTTTTCTCCCTTACTACTGTCTTTACATCATCATTCCACCAATCGCTCCTCTTCCCTCCCGCACCCACCTTCCTGTAACCACAAACTTCTGCTGAACACTCCAACACTACATTTTTAAACCTACCCCATACCTCTTCGACCCCATTGCCTATGCTCTCATTAGCCCATCTATCCTCCAATAGCTGTTTATATCTTACCCTAACTGCCTCCTCTTTTTGTTTATAAACCTTCACCTCTCTCTTCCATGATGCTTCTATTCTCCTTGTATCCCATCTACTTTTTACTCTCAGTGTAGCTACAACTAGAAAGTGATCTGATATATCTGTGGCCCCTCTATAAACATGTACATCCTGAAGTCTACTCAACAGTCTTTTATCTACCAATACATAATCTAACAATCTACTGTCATTTCGCCCTACATCATATCTTGTATACTTATTTATCCTCTTTTTCTTAAAATATGTATTACCTGTAACTAAACCCCTTTCTATACGAAGTTCAATCAAAGGGCTCCCATTTTCATTTACACCTGGCACCCCAAACTTAACTACCACACCCTCTCTAAAAGTTTCTCCTACTTTAGCATTCAGGTCCTCTACCACAATTACCCTCTCACTTGGTTCAAAGGCTCCTATACATTCACTTAACATCTCCCAAAATCTCTCTCTCTCCTCTACATTCCTCTTTTCTCCAGGTGCATACACGCTTATTATGACCCACTTTTCGCATCCAACTTTTACTTTAATCCACATAATTCTTGAATTTACACATTCATATTCTCTTTTCTCCTTCCATAACCGATCCTTCAACATTACTGCTACCCCTTCCTTTGCTCTAACTCTCTCAGATACTCCAGATTTAATCCCATTTATTTTCCCCTACCGAAACTCCCCTACCCCCTTCAGCTTTGTTCCGCTTAGGGCCAGGACATCCAACTTCTTTTCATTCATAACATCAGCAATCATCTGTTTCTTGTCATCTGCACTTCATCCACGCACATTCAAGCATCCCAGTTTTATAAAGTTTTTCTTCTTCTCTTTTTTAGTAAATGTCTACAGGAGAAGGGGTTACTAGCCCATTGCTCCCGGCATTTTAGTCGCCTCATACGACACGCATGGCTTACGGAGGAAAGATTCTTTTCCACTTCCCCATGGACAATAGAAGAAATAAAGAAGAACAAGAGCTATTTAGAAAAAGGAGAAAAACCTAGATGTATGTGTATATATATATATGCATGTGCGTGTCTGTGAAGTGTGACCAAAGTGTAAGTAGGAGTAGCAAGATATCCCTGTTATCTAGCTACACAACGTTTTAGCCTCAATAATTGTACTCGGGAGTTTGTTCCACTCATCCACAGCTCTATTACCAAACCAGTGCTTTCCTATATCCTTCCTGTGTCTGAATTTTTCCAACTTGAAACCATTGCCGCAAGTCCTGTATTAGCTGGAAATTTTCAGCACGCTATTTACATCCCCTTTATTTATACCTGTTTTCCATTTGTACCCCTCGATCATATCCCCCCTAATTCTACGTCTTTCGAGAGAGCGCAGATTCACGGCCCTCAGTCTATCCTCATATGGAAGATTTCTGATACATGGGATCATCTTTGTCATACTCCTCTGTAAGTTTTCCAGACCATTTATGTCCATTCTGTAATATGGTGACCAGAACCGAGCAGCATAATCTAAATGAGGCCTAACCAAGGATATATAGAGTTGAAGAACAACCTGAGGCTTCTATTATTTATACTTCTAAATATGAAGCCAGGAATTCTGTTAGCTTTATTGCGAACACTAATGCACTGTAGTATTAAGATCTACATTATTTAATTTATATGTGGCATGGTTATTTCACTGTCCAACATTTAGAACTTTGCATTTGTCTGTATTAAACTGCATCTGCCACTTCTCTGACCATTGCATCAGTCTATTCAAATCATCCTGGAGTGCTCTAGTGTCCTCATTAGAATGAATTGGACAGCCTATTTTTTTGTCATCAGTAAATTTGCTTATGTCGCTATTTATTCCCTCATCTATGTCGTTTATGTAAATTGTGAACAACAATGGACCCAACGCTGACCCCTGAGGAACACCGCCAGTGACGTGACCCCATTCTGATTTCTCCCCATTTATGCAAACTCTCTGCTGCCTATTTGTCAGCAATGCCTCTACCCAGGAAAAAAATTCTCCTCCTACTCCATGTGCCTTAAGTTTCCTCAATAGCCTCTGGTGTGGAACTCTATCGAAAGCCTTACTGAAGTCCATATACTCAATATCATATTCATTACCATAATCTATCTCCTCAAACACCTTAGTGAAAAAAGTTAATAAATTCTTAAGACAGGAACGCCCCTTTGTAAAACGGAGTTGAGATTCATTAATCAATCTGTGCCTGTCAAGATGGCTACGAATTGCTTCGGCAATTATTGATTCCATAAATTTTCCCACCATAGAGGTAAGGCTTATTGGTCTATAGTTCGAAGCCAAGGACCTGTCACCTGCCTTGTAAATAGGTATTACATTTGCCATTTTCCACTTATCAGGCACTATGCCAGTTTGTAGTGATATGTTAAAAAGATTAGCCAAAGGTATGCTAAGTTCCTCTTTACAATCTTTAACACGCTTGCAAACAGTTCATCAGGACCTGGGGATTTGTTAGGTTTTAGTTTCTCTATTTGTCTGAGGACCATGTCACTAGTTACCACAATCGTACATTGTTTATTTTCATGTTCTACATAATCTATTATTACAATGAATATCGCTAGTATTTTCCTGGGTGAAAACTGAGAGGAAGTAGGTATTGAGAATTTCACACATATCCTTATCACTGTCAGTGATCCGACCAGAGTTACTCTTAAGTGGGCCAATTTTGTCCCTAATCTTACTTCTGTATACCTGAAAGAACCCTTTTGGGTTAGTCTTTGAATCCCTTGCAACCTTAGCCTCATAATCCCTTTTTGCTTTTCTTATTCCTTTCTTTATTTCTCTCTTTAATTGAATATATTGATTTCTTAACTTCCCATCCCCTCTTTTTTATACGCCTATATATGCCTCTCTTTTGACCAATGAGATGTTTTAATCTATTGTTCATCCATCTGGGATCATTTTTATTAGATCTAATTTCCCTACTCGGAACAAAAGTTGTCGGGGCAGCAAGAACTATGCTCTGAAAAACGTTATATTGGCAACCAAGATCACCTACCTGACCCATAGTCAGGACATCCCAATTTAGCCCACCCAGGTAATTTTTCAGTCCCTTGAAGTCGGCCAAGCGAAAATCTGGGACAGAAATTTGATTGCAGTTATCTGGATAATTCCATGATATATTGATACTAAGTGATTTGTGATCACTTTCCCCAAGCTCGTCATTAACCTCAAGATTATTAATTAGTGATTCTTTGTTGGCAAGAACCAAGTCAAGCAGATTGTTTCCTCTAGTTGGTTTTGTCACAACCTGTTCTAAAAACCAATCCTGAACCGTATCAAGAAAGTCACTAGACTCAAGATTTCCTGTCATATTGTTCCAATCATTTTGTCTAAAGTTAAAATCTCCCATTGTCACAACATTTTTATATCTAGATGCCTTATGAATTTCATCCCATAACAGCTTACTGCGCTGCCTATCAAGGTTTGGGGGCCTATAAATCCCACCCAAAATTAATTTGTCACATCCCTAGAGAAACTGTAGCCAAACAGATTCTGTGTTCAATGTTTCTAATCTTATATCTTTTCTAAGACAACAATTTAAATTTTCTCTGACAACCATTGCCACTCCACCACCGTTCCTGTTGACCCTATCAGTCTGGAATAGTTTATAACCCTGTATGTTGCATTCAGAAGGCATTTCTCTATCTTTCAGGTTGAACCAGGTCTCTGTTATACCAATAATATCTATATTACTTGCACTTGCAAGTAATCTAAGCTCATCTATCTTATTTCTTAGACTCCTACTGTTTGTATTGTAAACCTTAAGGGAGCTAGTCACTCGTTGTCCTCTACTATCTTTCTTTGTTGATCAGTTGATTTGCCATTACTGGCAACTTTATTTTGAATATTGTTTTTTAAATATATCCCTGAGGTATCCCGGTAATAACTGGAGTTTTTAACCCTAATGCTGCAGCCTGATTGTTTCCCACAAACACCCATACCTCTATAATCTGTCAGTTTAAATTCCTAGACAAGTCATCAATTACACTCTCAATTGATTTGGCTAATGCAACCACCCCATCCCCAGAGAGATGAACCCCATCCCTTGCATACATATCATGTTTGCCAAAGAATAGGTCCCAGTTATCAATTAATGGGATTGCAAGTTCCTTACAGTACCTGTCTAGCCAGCAATTTATACCAATTGCCCTAGACATCCATTCATTGCCCACTCCCTTTCTGGGCAAAAAGCTACATAGACTGGGATCCCTTCCTTAGACCTAACTACTTCTATGGCTGATCTGTACTTATCCAGCAGCTCCTCTCTCCTGCCCTTCCCAATATCATTACCCACAGCACTAAGACAGATAATGGGCTTGTTCTCATTACCTGCCATAATATTATCCAACCTGCTGACTATGTCACCAACACCATCTCCAGGAAGACACACTCTCTGTCTGACCTTCCTGTCTCTGTTACAAAATGCACAGTCCATATATCTTACCCGAGAATTGCCTACTATTAAAATATTCTTACCTTGATTAGCAGCAGAATCAGTGGTACTTTCATCCTCACTAACCACTGAAGTACACTCGTCTTGGAGAACAGAGTCGATTTCCTACCTTCGCATCTTCTCTATTAACTCTCCTCATCTTCCTTCTTCCTGAACTGTGAACCACTTGCCACTTAAAGCGGCTGCCACTATCACTGCTGGTTACCATTTCCTCCTTACCAGCTAAATCCTTCTCACACTCATTCCCAAACTTATCTATGTGAAGCTTCAGCCTCCTATTTTCCTCCTGAAGAAGTAGAATCTCCTTCTTCAACACTTGAACCTGAGATTCTAAAGCACTACAACAAACCATGGTGCTTGGTAACAGCCCACGCTAACTCCCAAGAGCTTAGGCAGGTATGACCGCAGGTGACCACTGACCTCAGCCTACTGACCATCCTGAAGTCTAGTCAACAGTTCTTTATTTACCAATACATAGTCCAACAAACTACTATGATATCGCACTAAATCATATCTTGTATACTTATTTATCTTCTTTTTCTTAAAAGATTGTACGTAATAAGTATTAATTTTTATATTATAATCTGTGGCTTCTTGTGACATATTATGATAAACTAATCTAATCTTAGTTATTCATTCGAGTTGGTTTCAAAATAATCGTGGTGTCATGTTGAATAAGACAGATCCATTAATATGGACATTTGCAAAAAAAAAAAAAAAAAAAAAGCTTGATTTCACATTTTCTCATTGAAAACGCTTATCAAATATATGGAGAAAATCTAACTTAGAAACATCACCTAAATCAATAAATTTTCTTTTCTAAATTTTATTCAATATATTTAAAATTACTTAAAATTATATATATATATATATTATATATATATATATATATATATATATATATATATATATATATATATATATATATATATATATATATATATATATGTTCATTATGTTCAGATTGACTTAGTCAGAGTTATTGAAAAAAAAAATTCACTTAACATATTCGGTGGAATAAGGTAAGTGAATATTCCTAAATGAGTAAATTTTTCTTCTCTCAGACACCATCAGTAGACAATCGTGCATAATTAAAGCGATGATACATATGAAAAATTAATTTTATAATTGTTTCATGCAGATTATGTTTCATTGAAGGTTATAATAATTCTTTATAGGCATAAGAGAAGGAATCCAAAAAATCAGATTTTTAATATAAGCATTTTGTGCAATGTAAACTGTTTCAGAAATGAAAAATTTAAGTCAAATCTTTTGAATGAATCCCGGTGTAATTATAATCTAGCTGTGGAAAATTTTGAATTTTCCCAAATTCAGCATGAGTAAATTTGATTAGTATAATAATTGTGTATTAAAATTATGTTGATTTGACCATTCGAGAAATTTTGCATGAAGGAGGGTGTGCAGCAGGTGCAGAGTGATACAGAGAGAGCACTGGTTGCCGTGGAAAATTCAGCTAATAATCTAGCGTCTTCAAGGCCAAATTGGGATGTTTTGGCCTGAATTTGTAATAGGAACTGGTGTTAATGTCCCGTGACGAAGAACTGGGACAGGAAATTTGCACACTTCAAGAATTACATGTCGATGGTGAAAAATAAGAAATGCGCTATCACTGACACAGGGAAGTGCACCATAAGTCCTTTCATTTATATCTCTAGCTGCCCAATGTAGGGTTTATTTGTCAGGCAGGTGTTGTGGTGTGATTCATCTAAAGTAATTAAATGGTAAGTGGTAATACAAATTTCTTTTCTGATAATGTCATTATAATTTACGTACAATAATTATATCCTGTGTACCCAGCAAGCCTAATTATATACAATCCACATTATTTTAAAATTTGTCATAAATAAAAATATAATAATAATAAATCTTTATTTCTACAAGTACATATACCTAGCTGACATCAATGACATACTACTATATAGAAAGCCGCTTGTTAGGCAGAGCACTTCGCGAAAATTAAGTCAGTTTTGCCCCAGGATGCGACCCACACTAGTCGACTAACACCCAGGTACCCATTTTACTGATAGGGAATATACACAACCGGTGTAAAGAAACACGCCTAATGTTTCTACCCTTACAGGGAATCGATCTCAGACCCTCGTTGTGTGAAGCGAGAGCTTTAACCACCAGGCTACGGGACAATACACATGCATGTACAAGCATATATATACATACCCCTCTGGGTTTTCATCTATCTTCTTACTTGTCCTTGTTTTTGTTTATTGCTGCTTATCTCTCTGGCAAAGTGGAACAAAATTCTTTCTCTGTAAACCACGTGTGTTGCAAGATATAACTAAAATGCCACGAGCAAGAGGCTAGTAACCCTTCTCCTTTTATACGTATACTACTAAATTTAAAAAGAGAAGATTATGTTTTTCCTTTTGGGTCACCCTGCCTCAGTGGGATACGGCCGGTTTGTTGAAAGAAGAATAAGATTGTAATTATTAATTTAAATATTAGATCTAGCTTTTTATGAGAGAGGCGATGAAGTAGGCATCGAGGGAGTCACAGTTCGGCGACCTACTGTGACTAAGTCCCACTTACCTCGGCCAAATTACTTGCATGTAATAATTCAGGTAATACCCTGCAAACCTCATGCAGGTAATTTTCCCACATAATAATTCATGCTGGTTATAAGCTTAACCCATTAGTCTAAGGAAAGCTCTATTAATTGCCGAATAAAACAGTATATTACAATAATGATAATGTGTCATCTCAATTATTTTGTAACTCACCTATGTCAATACTTCAACCAACTTCATGAGGTCTCACCAAGAGTGATCCCTTAATTAATTCCCTTTCTTCCAAGTGATATTTTTAACAATTTTGGCAAATAGGCTTTTAAAAAGCTCAAAATCAGTACAAAATCAACGTAAGCTTCACCATAATTTGCTAATCTGGTGCTGATCGGAAGAGGTATTCCCCAGGTAATGTAAGGAAACGTTTTGTTTAATAAAAGTGATAAATTAAAACTTTCACAAACCAAAATCTTTGTGATGCTTTCACTGATAAACAAAAACATTAAAAGGTTGAAGTCGACCAGGAGAAAAATTTTCCACTTATCACAGGTAATGAAGCAATTCAAAGTTTATTAACTACGTTAGGAAACTGTTTGTGAAATTTGCAGGTACATTCTTTGATGATATTGTTCCTTCATTATCCTTTGTTAATATTGATCTGTTATCATCCTAATACAATCTTTTATTAAATAATGAAAAATCAGAGTGATGCTGCTCTGGTTGTTTGATGAAGTGAGAGTTTAACAACTCACCTTCCCTAACTATCAAGTTCAACAACTCACCTTCACTCACTATCAAGTTCAACAATTCACTTCCATTCACTATCAAGTTCAATAACTCACCTTCCTTCACTATCAAGTTCAATAACTCACCTTCCCTCACTATGAAGTTCAACAACTCACCTTCGCTCACTATCAAGTTCAACAATTCACTTTCATTCACTATCAAGTTCAGTAACTCACCTTCCTTCACTATGAAGTTTAACAACTCACCTTCCCTCACTATCAAGTTCAACAACTCACCTTCGCTCACTATCAAGTTCAACAATTCATTTTCACTCACTACCTAGTTCAATAACTCACCTTCATTCACTATCAAGTTCAGCAACTCACCTTTCCTCACTATGAAGTTCAACAACTCACCTCCTTCACTATCAAGTTCAACAACTCACATTCCCACACTATCAAGTTCAACAACTCACCTTCGCTCACTATCAAGTTCAACAATTCATTTTCACTCACTATCTAGTTCAATAACTCACCTTCACTCACTATCAAGTTCAGCAACTCACCTTCCCTCCCTATAAAGTTCAACAATTCACCTTCCCTCACTGTCAAGTTCAACAAGTCACCTTCCCTCACTATCAAGTTCAATAACTCACATTCTCTCACTATAAAGTTCAACAAGTCACCTTCCCTTCCTATAAAGTTCAGCAATTCACCTTCCCTCACTATAAAGTTCAACAAGTCACCTTCCCTCACTATGAAGTTCAACAATTCACTTTCCCTCACTGTCAAGTTCAACAAGTCACCTTCCCTCACTATCAAGTTCAATAACTCACATTCTCTCACTATAAAGTTCAACAATTCACCTTCCCTCACTGTCAAGTTCAACAAGTCACCTTCCCTCACTATCAAGTTCAATAACTCACATTCTCTCACTATAAAGTTCAACAATTCACCTTCCCTCACTATAAAGTTCAGCAATTCACCTTCCCTCACTATAAAGTTCAATAATTCACCTTCCCTCACTGTCAAGTTCAACAAGTCACCTTCCCTCACTATCAAGTTCAACAATTCACCTTCCCTCACTGTCAAGTTCAACAAGTCACCTTCCCTCACTATAAAGTTCAACAAGTTACTGTGCCACACTGTGAAGGAAGACACTCAGGTGTAGTTAAGTTCAACACTTTACTGTTTCACACTGTGAGTGAAAGTATAACACTGTGGTAGACTCTGAGAGGAACAACACAGCAGCGCTCCCTGGCAACCATCGTAATCTTCAACACAGATGCCAACCATCACAGTTTTATTATAATTTATATTACTTGCTCTTCACATGTATTATTCTCAAACTTTGCTTACTGTAACATTAAGCTTAAAAATCTGTTCGTTTCATTATATTATTTTTATATAATATAAAGGAATATTTCCAATAAGTAATTTACATAAAATGTGCAGATTAGCCTAATCATCATGAGTAAAATAAACATTATCTTCCTTCTTCGTTGCTACGCGTTCATTAGCTGATCTATTTTAACTGCACCTTTCTAGGCTTAACATAATAGAAGGAAAATAAGCATTGAGAACCATAGTCTTATCTTGGGTAAGAGAGATAGTGGGCACCTTAATGTCTTGATATTTGCCGTAAAAATATGTAAAAATATCACACTAAGGAACAGAACCTTAACAAATAATAACAATTCAAAGTTCATATAAAGACTAACCACCACAACACTCCAAGGAAAACAATTACATACCGTTGTTATTGTAGTTTTAAGTTAAACATTATTTTTCCTTGTCAAGGACAGGACAGGCAAAATTCTCCCTTTTAGGAAAAAATGAATATACCATATTAAAATACTGTCAAATTATAGTGAATAAATTAATTAACTGCAACAATTTCTTCATTAAATTACAAAAGAAGTTGAAAGTGGATGGTAATGGAAGTCAGGGTTATAAACTAAAAGTACACACAGGCAATATGCCTCGGGAATAAAATCGAAGCTTTTAGTGATTGCTGCTGGGATAAATCACGGGACGGGAGGGGCTAAAACCCATGACAAGAAAGCCTTAAAATTCCGAGGCCAGTGTGTTAACCACTCGTCCAGCTGACTCTAAAGGATTCCTCCAGCTACGTAATATTTTGATACCCCATAGGTAGGTTAGCATTGGTCTCATTGTTATTAACATGCAGGTTTTTCTCAGATAAATCCCACACAAGCGTGGCTGTGGAGATTTGGCTGTGCTCAACTCCCATCAAAGCAACCAATCATGGCAGTTTTAAAGCTAACAAGTCAAATATTTAACAAGATACGTTAACTGGTACATTGTGTTGCCAATTTAACCGGATGATGGTTATTCAGTAAGTTAACACCACTTACACCACACACATCAACATAGGGATGGAATAGGCAACTAATAGTTGATTTGCATCATAATCTGGAATGCAAATGTTTCCAACTAACATTTCCCAAAGCTGAAAATATGGACCATAAGAACATAAGAATGAGGAACACTTCAGTAGGCCTACTGACCTATACTAGGCAGGTCCTCCAAAAAGCAAAACAGTGATTAATTCTTTTCATGTTCTTCTAAGCATAGAATTTAAAATTTGACGAGGTGAGAGATTTTTGAGGTTCGGTTTTATTTATGAAATAGTGAAGGAACGTCGTTCAACTTGACAAATATATTAAAGGAATGCCATTCCCATGCGTTCCCATAGCATTGTACTGCAATTTGGATCAAGAGCCCCTCACTATCATTCTGGCATCTCCCTTAAGGGCATTACATATACCATTAGTCTATAACAGTATTTAACTATTTTCAGATCAAATGTTCAGTTTAACTACTTTTTCGTGATTGTTTGCTTTTTCCTTCTAAAAGGAGTTTAAAATGTAGTTGTGGTAGCTTATTGACTAGTAATCCTACCTCAGCTACACCACAGACCAAACAGCTAACAAACTGGTTATCTCAACTACTCTTGTACATGTCAGGTTCTTCTCCGGCCTACGATGATTCCCTGCTGCCATGTAACACAGCAATTAGGTGACCTAACACCATCACCTGATATTCGCAAGTGACATGATTACGAAATGTGTATGCTGTTGTTTCTCTGTCTCTTGTATCACTTAAAGTGACCAACGTCCTAAAACCGAAACAAATCCAATAAAGATATGCAAAGTAAAAGCACTAATGTTTTATGAGCAACATTCTCAGAACTTACAAACAAATTTGACTCAGGTGTAAGCTCATGAATTTGTTTCTGGGTGCAAAATAAATGTTTATATACTCAACACTGCTACAGGTATTTGCACTCTTTTTGTTTTTAATGTAATTAAGATTTTAACAGTAACTGAAAGGTTAACTGGACCTGTGGTGATCAACTTCGCTTATCTCAAGAGTGTGTGATAACAGAGGCTCTCAAGTGCAGTTGATGCACCATTATCTAAGCTTCCAAATGAAGTAAGTAATGTTCTGAGTGATCATCGCATAAGAATATTTACTTAAGAGGACTGATGTTGTCAGCTGTTCATATTCTAACGACTTTACATCATGACAAAGAGTTTCACGTAATGAAAGAAAATCTTCACTGCATTAGTGAATTTCTGAAAGAAAACAAAAGCCTTGATTGAGTCATACTAGGCGGGCAAACAACCTGTATCAGAGACCAGAACTTGAGACAACAAAAGCCTTGAGTCATACTAACCGGGCAAACAACCTGTATCAGAGACCAGAACCTGAGACAACACCACGCCTTCTCATCACTGTTAAGATAAATCGTGTTATCACAAATCATTATTTTGGTCTTATTACATTTATTTAGTAACAAATTATATTTATCTTCTGTAAAAAAAATATTTATATTTTTCTCTTTCAATACACAATACAAGATAAAAAAAAAAAGCCATGAAAAAATTTATTTATTCCAGTATTTATTAATAACCAGTCTCATGTACAAACACTGAATAAAAACGTGATATACTGTATGTTATAAAATGTTTTTGGGGGCCAAACCTAACTTAGAAACCTCATCTAACCTAAATGAAAAAATGTAATTTTTTTAACCAAATTTTGTTATGTATAGCATAGGTCAGAATACATTTATTGAATATTGCTTCAAATCAATGATATATTTTCTTTTGGTTATGTTTAGAATAATTTCCATTGATTTACACTGTGGTATATATATGTGTTCTGCAGAATAGTTAAAAATTGGTCAATTATCAACAACTCATTTAAAATTTATTATTTTCTAAATTTTTATCTTAAACGTTTAAAGATATATTTTTTTCATTTATGTTGATGTAAAAATTTATAATTTTGTACCATAGAACCTTAGAAAACTTACCTAACGTTTATTATAATTATTATAACAAGCGCAATTTAATTTAGACATAATCCAACTAAATATATTTAGATAAATTTACAGTAATTTAATAGTAAACAAAGATAATGAAATATGTTTTTTTCAGTTAAATTCAGAATGATTTTTGCGAAATTACTGCATATACAAATTTTCGCTTGCGTTATTCGGGAAGAAGACATTGCTATTTAAGCCAAAATCACAAGTTTTACCAATTCGGCACCACATATATTCATACTCAGCTTAACCTATCAAAGAAACGCACGAAACCCAACATAAACAAAAAAGTTGCTATACAATATAATCATTCTACCGAAAAGAAAAGATTTTCTGAGCCTTATTCCATTTTCATCTGAAGAAGCGACGCAGAGCGAATATAAAGCCGAACACAGCTAACTGTAGTATGAGGATTACATCCAGCATGAGGAACTCCACCCAGGAGAGCTGTGCCGCTGGTGACCTCAGCTGGGGCGCACCTCTGTGACGGATGACGTACTCCGTCCAGAACACTGCCAGCTCCGTGGGTGGTACAGGCTGATCCCGCAGCGGCACTGACATCCTCAGCACGTTTTCCTTATACCTGTGAAGAAAATCTGAAAGATTACCCACACAAGTTACAGAGGAAAAAGAAAGGAAGAAGAAATATAAAATTATTAGTTATATAAAGAAAGGACAGGGAGTCAAGTGTTCGAATTCACGACTAATGAGGACGATGAAAATTTGAAGAATATGAAAAGGGATGATAGTATGAAATGAGGAAAATATGAAAGGAGTTATAGAAAATTTGTATACACCTGGGACAGAAAGAAGTGTAGAAAGGTTTAGCGAGTTTTTAACCAAGAGACAGAATAATTGTAGTGGGTGTCCCAAATGCTAAAGGAAGCTGTTGAAGGTGAAGGTGAAGATATACCTTTGATATACCTTTGAAGAGTTTTGAGAGTTTCACTACTCTCGGAGCACGGCCATAGGCTAGCTCCTATGGTGCTTGCCTGGTCAAGCAGGCTGTTGCTGCTGGGGGGCATACTATGTTAGTTTGGAATGACAGGCGCAAATGATAATTGGAGGCCTCTAAGTGGGCCTACAGAAAAGAAAATATTCTAGTAATCGTAATACTTTTTTTAAAGATAAGACAGAATTAAATAAGTACTGGAGATTCGATGTGGTAAGATTATAGTTTGCTAGGTTAGGTTTAAATACATAAAGGTTGGTGAGTAGACTTCTGAATATGGTGTTTTAGAAAAGTGATTGGATACAAAATCGTTATTTAGAGTTTCTACACTACATGAAAAAGGGAAGCTGAAGTACAAGGAGTAACATAGAAGTGATAATGAATGAATTGAAGATGACAGTGAGAATGCAAGCAAATAATCAAAGAAAAGTGGTTTAGAGAGAGAATAAATAATGAAGCGATCAGTGGTAGATTTAAGAATGCAGTGCTAGATTTCTAGGGTGATGCAGATGGGAAAAAGTTTTTGACTGCTGGAATACTGAAGGGAAAGATAAAAGTAATTAGAGGTATTGACAGAATACATATAAGGAAGGAAGAGTATGTGAGAGAAGAGGTTGAATGATTATTAAAGGTTGTATAAGAGATTATATATAAGTCCTTCATCTGCAAATTTGAAGATAAATTGTATAAAATACGAACACAACTAAAAAAAAAAAAGACTCAAATGCAATAAAATGTGAATTTTTATAGAATAAAGTTAGCCCATAACGTGGAATTTATTGAGTTGCAAATAGCTCTAAATGGGGCTCCCAAATATGGCGAAAAATATATAGGTAACATAGTGACCTGAAGGGCGATCTGAAAATTAAGCTTTTGTGTCTACGTTACATCAGCAAATTTTAATGAG